ATCTGACGGGAATTTCTCTTAAGTAAATGTACAGAATATTGTGAAAAAGAATGGAATTTAAAAGTTTTTTTTTAGAGTGATTTAATCGTTTTCTTCAGCGAATGTCATGCGTAATTTTCTCCGATCTCCAATCGAGTTATCTAGCATAAAGCAAGCTAATATCATTAACAATGCGACCGAAACAATTATGTGATTGGGGAGATATATAGGTAATATATAGGTAATATATCAACTAAGTTGAAATTGTAAATTGGCCACCGTAACGGATAAAAAAGCTGACGTTTCGAGCGTTAGCCCTTCGTCAGAGCGACTGGAGGAATTGTGGGTTGTGTGTGGGTTTATATGCAGAAAGCGGAGCTACGCCATTGGTGGGAACATGGCGACGAGAAAAACACGGATAAATTAGTAGAATGAAAAGCGTTCGTTGATACCTGTGGGATTAAGAGTGCCGATTTGAAAGATAAACTTTTGTTCAAGAGTTTTGTGGCTTTCCGTGTTGCCTAATTAAATGTAAGGAAAGACTGCAGATTGCCATGTGCTGTTTAGAATAATTAGGTAAATTAAAGTCTCCAGCGACTGGTTTTGATGCGTCCTTGTCTTGAATCCTTTCTACGTCGCGAAGGTGTTCTCGGAAGCGGTCACCTAGTCGTCTTCAGTCCTGTTTCGTCGATGTATAACTTTTTGCAATAAGTGCAAGCTATGCAATAGATTACGTTGGCGGAGGTGCACGTGAAGTGATCGGTGATCTTTTTCAATCACTTGAACCAAATTAAGACCCAAAAACTTGACCAACTTATCGGTCCCCAAATTGCTAACCGCGCGCATATCACCAGAAAACCTCAAACCGTGGTTACCATTCCAGAAAATCTTTCACTTTCCGATTCAGAAAAATCCGTCCTCAGCAAATTAAGGGTTTAAATTCTGTTCCCATTTCTAAAACAACGGACGAATTCTCAGTTAAACAATACCTAGAAAAATTCCTTCGCTGTGTTCATTTAAAATCCTTTTCATGACAAAGGGGATGATTCTAACACCTCGAACAAAGATACTTTCGAAACACTTCAGATTCGAAAGTCTAAATAGACTCCCCCAGAGGGTCAGTTCGCAACATTAGACTTTTTCATCAAAAAATGTCGCCACGATATTAACAAACTTAATTTCAATCGCACTACCAGATTTTCCAATCTTTCATCTGAAGAGGGGTCGGCACTAAAAAGCCTTAAAAAACGCAAAGACATCGTTATTAAAGCGGCAGACAAGGGCGGCTCAGTAGTTGTTTGGCGGACCGACCTCTACCAAAAAGAAGCTTTGCGGCAACTTTCTGACACCTCTTTTTATCAAAAGGTCGACAAAGATCTTACTTCCGTCAATCAAAACATCGTCAAAAAATACGATTAACGAACTCATAGCTAAACAAGAATTGCTTGCCACTGCAAAAAATCTCATCATCACCACTCCTAGAACTTCTCTTATTTACTTTTTACCTAAAATTCACAAACCTAACAACCCAGGTCGGCCCATTGTCTCGGCCTGCAGTTGCCCTACCGAACTTATTTCCAGCTATTTAGACAAAATTATGGCTCCCATCGTCTAAACTTAACCGTCACATATCAAAGACTGCCAACACGCTCTTCAAAGTTTTCGCGACCTTAATTTTCTTGGCCAAGACAAACTTATTTTCACCGTGGACATTACATCTCTTTACGCTGTCATTCCTAATGGCGAAGGTCTTCTGGCCCTCAAACATTTTTTTGATCAACGTACTGTTAAGGAACCTAAATCTGAAACCCTACTCAGCTTGGCCGGAACTAGTGCTCACGCTTAATTTTTTTCATTCGGGGACAACTTTTTCACACAAACCAACGGCGAAGCCGTATGTACCAAAATGGGACCCAGTTATGCCAATCTTTTGGTAGGTTTTGCTGAACACCAATTTTTTAGCCAATACATTGGCTCCAAACTTGAACTCTACGGTCGCTACATCGACGACTGTATCGGTGCTACCTCCTCTAACAGAGAGGAGCTCACTCAATTCATAACCGCAGCCAACTCTTTTCACCCAGCTCTAAAATATACCTGGGAAATTTCCGACAATTCTTTATCCTTTTTAGATATCAAAGTTTCAATTGAAGACAACGGTTTATCCACTAGTGTGTATCACAAACCTACAGACTCACACAGTTACTTGTTGTATTCATCTTCGCATCCATCTCATGTTAAGAATTCCCTTCCCTTTTCTCAGTTTCTAAGACTTCGTCGTTTATGTAGTGACGACTCTGATTTTTCCCACAAATCAGAGTCCATGTGGCAGTTTTTCGAAAAATGTGGTTATCATGTTTCTGTCGTTCAAGCGCGTCACCGCCGCGCCCTACTTAATGATCGACAGTCAGCACTACAAACGTCACAGAACGAAAATTCCGACCGCATTCCATTCACTCTCACGTTTCACCCTCACAACCACTCATTTAAATCCATTATTCTTAAAAACTTTAAATTACTTCAAAACGATCCAGACTGGCACTATCTTTTGGTAACCTCCACTTATTTCATTCAAACGCGACAAAAACATAGGCAATTTTTTGGTCAGAAGTTCATTCCAAGCTAATAACCAAACCGGCACTTTTAAATGCGCTCGCGCACGATGCAAAACTTGTCATTTCGTTCACAACGCTGAGAAAATATCGAGACCCAAGCGATCCATTAAGATCACCGATACCTTCACGTGCACCTCCGCCAACGTAATGTATTGCATAACTTGCACTTATTGCAAAAAGTTATACATCGGCGAAACAGGAAGACGACTAGGTGACCGATTCCGAGAACACCTTCGCAACGTAGAAAGGAATCAGGACAAGGACACATCAAAACCAGTCGCTAGAGACTTCTATTTACCTAATTATTCTAAACAACATATGGCAATCTGCGGTCTTTCCTTACATTTAGGCAACACGGAAACCCGCAAAACTCTTGAACAAAAGTTTATCTTTCAAATCGGCACTCTTAATCCCACAGGTATCAACGAACGCTTTAACTTCATTCCACTAATTTATTCGTGTTTTGCTCGTCGCCATGTTCCCACCAATGGCGTAGCTCCGCTTTCTGCATATAGACCCACATACAACCCACAATTCCTCCATTCGCTCTGACTAAGGGCTAACGCTCGAGACGTCAGCTTTTTTATTCGTTACAGTGGCCAATTTTCAATTTCAACTTCCACCGACGCAGTACCACAGTTTCTTTAGAAACTTTCAGCCTTTATTCAAATCTCTTATTAGACGTTTTGTTGTGTTAGTAGTATCGCTGCCGTATTTTTACTCGTAGGTTGTATTTTGACCTGCCCTACGAGCCCGTCAAAACACGGCACAACTCGTAAAAATACTCAGCGATAATACACAACCAAACATCTAATAAGATATATTCATTGTGAAGAACGAAAAATAAATCTTTAGGGGAATATCACTTGGGTGATATTCTCGGATCACCCAGTTTTTTTCTGGGGAATATTCATCACGTGGTGCGTTTACACCAATTGCGCATGAAAAAAAATATTTGATGGATCATAAATTACTATATCAAAATTTCAAGAAATTTAGGTAGCAACTTTTAAAATTTAGGTTACCACTTCTTTAGATTGTTGGCAATTTTTTAGCAGCAATTTGGAATTCCAGTGCGCAAATTTCCACCATTTAGTAACGAACACAATCAAGACAGGCCTATCAGGGGGACTCCATGGAGTTGACCGTTAGTCGTAATACATCAAAATATACTACTATGAGGTTTAAAAATTTATAAATTTCAACCGATAGTCGTAGATAAAGGGTAACCGTAAAAACTGTCTTTAAACCATAACGGAAAGAAATTAACAGTTGGCCGTAAAAGCCATCTTATTTATGGCCACGGTGCCTTGAGAATACAGGTTATTCCTCTCTCTCTCTTAACCATCTTGTGTCAAGACAAACGTCCCCCTATCAAGACAAATGCATTCTTATTGATTCTCTCGTTTATTGAATAGAAAACCGTTAAAACCACTCGAAAAATCGTTGCAGCTGCAACACTTTTTGGGAAGCCACACCAACAACAGCAAAAACATGGGCAGGCGTGGACACCTAATCACTGCTTTTTGTCCGTTGTTTCTTTCAAGGACAACAATGGCCTCATCAACGCCGTCGTGGTCTTGCAAGCTGCCAGACGAAACCTGCAACATGTAATCGACAGTGCTGAAACTCAAGACCTCTGAAGCTGTTGTCAAAGGATTGTAATTAGAAAAGACGATCGCACAAGAATTCTGTTTGGCTTTTGACTCAAGAGGAAAATACGAAACAGGAGGATTACGGTAGCCGCTCAATAGCGATTCTACCAGCAATAGAGGTAAAGTTGTTTTGGGAAAACTGAAAGCGGTGTTTAAATTTCCTTATCAGAAATGTTAAACTTCAAGAGGTGGATCTGAAAGAAAAAGAAAAAGAAAAAAAATCGAGGAAATAGACTTTTCAGAGGTGGTGAATGTGTAAAGTTTCTAGTTGAGAAGTGCGGAGGTATTCGCAAAGTGTGATGGGGGGCAATATGTATCATTCGAAATATTTTGCACTTCCATCGTTTCTGTCAATTCGTAATGAAAGATAGTTAGAAAGTCATGTTATCTTTAACTTTTTTTAGGGAGGGGTCTTTCAACAAAAGGAGAGTATCTTGAAGGGGACTTTTGTTCACACACATTTGCACGTTGGCAATGATGCTCACTCACACTGAGTAAGGGGACAGCGTAATACCGATCAGAAATATGTATATGTATGTGGACAGTGGTATCATGCGATTGGTCGACAGGCTCCGCCTGCACAACCACACCTAAGAAAAAGATCAAGCACGGCAGATCTAGGTTTGAGTTGGCTTAAACTTTTCACAATCTGCAAAATCGTCTAAATCAACTTAGAGTCGGTAAATTGGTCTATTAAACTGCGTACTTGTAACAAACAATTTTAATTTTCTATAACTCAAACGTATCACAGAGTTCTTTGGACAAAGTATGTAGGTACAACCGGCCCGTGCAAACTTGGTATGACGAATATGTTTAAATATCACCAAGCAGTCAGTGAGGCTTCCAGTGGCCGATCAAGTCCGTCACAACTAATCGCGTTTATCTCATGCCCTTTCAATCGACCTTTGTCTATGATAGAATTAAAACGATTCGTTATGATCACACTCTAAACTCGGCACTAGCCACCGCTTGATGAGGATAAAACAGTATCTGCAGTGATATTATGACTTTCAGTCATCTAACGTAGCGGGGAAGGAAACTGTTAAAAAAGAACGTTTGAACATAGTAAACCTTCCCCAATGACAGTTCCGGTTACGAGTACAAGTCTAGTTTAAGATTGGTGCCGTGATTTCCTCGCGCTAAACTTCATCGTCATCATGTTCGTCATCGATATCCTCAAAGTCATCGACGACGTCATCTGTAACGCCACCAAACTTTTCATTGAACATTTTCTCGAAAACATCCATTGAGTCGGCGTCAATGAGAACAAAACGAATGTCGTCAAGAAAGCCTCTTGGATTTGCTTCCTCTTTTTCTCCATCGATAGTTTTGCTTGGTCTCTCCTTCGGAAGCTCGGTCGATGTTTTCTTTTTTCCTGTTTCTTTGTGTTTCTGGATGCTTTCTTTTGACCCTTTTTTCTTCGTAACTTCTTTCTTTGTTACGGTCGGCATTGTGAGATACTCCTCCACCGCGTTTAACATGGCAAAGGCGCATATGTCAATAGGGGCACCAAAGATACCGGAACTAATCGCTGGTATAGCAATGGATGATAAACCAAGTTTAGATGCTAGTTTAAGACTTTGGAGACACGCCTTCTGAAGAAGTTTCATATTGTCTGTATGTGAGTGTTTGACCCACTCGGGACCGACGGCATGAATGACAAACTTACAACGAAGATTTCCTGCGACTGTATGCACTGCGTCTCCAGTGTGTAATGATTGAAAACCGCGTTTTCGTATCAACTTGTCAGATTCCCTCTGGATTTCAAGTCCACCTCTTTGGACAATCAACTTTGCAAGGCCAGCGCCGTGGGACAAAAGTTTGTTAGCAGGATTCACGATTGCATCGACTTCCTCGGTAGTAATGTCTCCCTAACGAAGGGAGATATACACACCATTTTCTGATCGATAACTTGAAGTTTCAAAAGAAATCATTTCCGGTGCTACCATTGCCATTTCTTGAGCAGCAAGGCCAATATCATAGCTTTCCTGTTGACTGATTCCTCCTTTTACAGTTCGCCTGGCTTCTTCTACAGATGCAGCATCACCATACACTAAAAACGGACCGTGTTCTTGGGGCCTGTCTATGATCACTGGGTACATGGTCTCAATGCATTCCATTAAAACTTTGGCTGAGTCCTCGTCTACACCTTTTAAATCCAGCTCGTTGGTAACCATACCCTGAGTGACAGATTTGACAAGTTCTGAAAGCTTACTGCAGGCAGTGTTGTATGTTGTAAGATCACAGTCTTGTTTAGGCTGAAGCATAACTCGAGCACCGTAAGCCGAAGAGGTAACTTCCACAAGACATTCTCCACTGATTTCACTTAACTTCTTTTTGTAAACCTTCTCCATAAAGCGGAAGGCATATGGATGTACTTGAAACCATCGTGCCTCTGTTGTGGGATATACACGTCCTTCCTGATCGTCGCTGTTGACTTCATTGACAGGGATGACCTTTGCTCCGGGACTTTCATCGATTCTTGTAGCTATGATCACTTCAGAGCTTCCAGCTAAGGTTGAGACCACCTTTCCTGTTCCACCACTCTCGATTTCTATGACTTCATATGGGTCTTTGGCCGTCAGGCGAAGATTGTTTAGTTGCGCAAAAATTTCTTTGTCCTCGTTTAAGAACCTCCTTATCAGGAGATGGCAATCATTAATTTGCTTCAAGGTGCCAGATATAACAACGGTATTCTCTTCCCACCGAACGGACACATCTATGGCCACTTTTATTTTTTCCAAAATCTGTCTCGCCCCTTTTGGAGGAATACCCGACCAGACGGGATCAAACTTTGCTGTCACCTGAGAAAATATCTAAAGACAATAATATCCTGGGCAAATAGGAGAGCATATCATAGAGTGGGGTTAGTACTTTCACCTATCGAAAACCGCTTCTCTCCTCGCATCTCTCGCCACTCGTGTTCGTCAGTTTTTTAAAGGTTTGCCTTCCGCACGGCGCTCGCCCGAAAAATCAGTTTAAAAAATCGCCTATTCTGAAGGCTACTCTTTGTTGAAGATAGACTCGCTTCGAAAAGATGGACTTAATTCAAAAGTAAAAATTTCCTACGCAGAGAAACCAAGAAGTCAACTTAACAACCTGAGATCATGTCAGATAATCACCAACCTTACGCGGAATTCATCAATGCGAGAGCTTCTAACTAACGTCTACCTAACTTTCTCGTTTTCATCCATGTGCGGTATGTTTTCGAAGAAAACATCGAAAGATATGAAAGCTCTTAATCCCCGTCACTTGGTTGGATCGTATGCAATCCAGGAGAATCGTCACGCAAAAACGTTGCGTGACAGTCCACAACGATCAACATACCTCGCCGTTGATCACTTTCTGAGTCCTTCTGTGGGGTACCCGATCAACCTTAAGCACTACACCTTCAACCTTGTGTTCTTCCTTTAAAACTGTCTCCGCAGCTATACATAGTGAGAAATAAAACTATCGATTATGTTTCTGTGTTGATAAATTACTACGAATCTGAGACAAACTGTCGTGAGTAATCATAGTTACACACACTCAGTGAATGAAGTAGGATACAACATGGGTTTATGATAGACTATTTCATCGCTCACATTTTTCTGCTTCTTTGTTTATCTATTATCATTTTTTATTCGCGTCGTTTCAACTCGCCAGAAGACTTGGACAGCCGTGATAGATTCCAAGCACCCCTCGAAGTAAATATGCCCTGACGTCTGATGGTGAAAACTAACTGGTCTCCTTCGAACATTCACTGCATGAAATGTCGAATATAAGGTGTAATGAAGCATTATACATTGTGTATGCGGAACGATATACTAATGTATAATGATTTTCTTGAATAAGGACTGTATGCGGTTCAGGATATTTCTCCTTATTATCCATGTGTGTACTGAAAATTATGCTTTCCGTACACAAAGTGTAAGGTTAATTATACATGTAATTAAACATACTTAGAAAAAAAGCTCTTAGCTGGATGTGTTTTGGTATGATATAATATTTTCCAGCCCACAGAAAATACTTGTGGTGATATATTTGGCAAATTGCGTTTGAAATGTCGAATATAAGGGGGATATAGTGAGGCAGTATACAATCAGTAAATAATAATGATAATAATAATAATGATAATAATAATAATAATCACTTTATTTATTCAGATTATTAGACTTTGAATCTGTTCAGATTTGACTCCGTTATTTATAGTTTTCCAGAAAATTAAAATAAAAAAAAAGGAGTAGATGTGAGCCGAAAGTGAGTTATTTTGGATCGTTTTTTTACGCTGTTAATATTTTGTATTGTAGAGGATTTTATGGAAATTATTGCTAAATAAAGATTATTACTTTATTTAGCAATAATTTAAGTTGCTGAAAGTGAATAACAATGGATTCTTGTTTGGTTCCTGGAGTAATATCTGACACTATGATGCTTTTAGGCATGTCTTCTTCCCTCATTTCCTCCCGAAGAGATAAATTAAAAGCCATTAAGTGTCGTTTCTTCGGCAGAATAGGCCCTTGCAACAAGGATGCTTTTCTAAATTGCCTGTACACGCAGGCCACAAGGACTGAAAACACGAGAAGGTTATCTAAAAAAAAGTGTTATGAAAGCGAAACTGCATCAAATGAATAATTGGAGGTTCGGGGATTCCCCTTTTACATCGTGTTGAGTCAAAACGAGTAATTCCTTAAACGAAAGCTACAATTTCCCTTAAGCTGCATTGAAATTGTTCCAACCGATATATACTAAAGTAATTTGTGAAGAGAAATTGCGATTCTTGGAATTCCCTTTTAACTATTCTAAACCCCCGTTTTCTCGGAATTTCGACTGATCAAACAATGACAGCATTTCTCAGAAACTACACCGGTTACCATCCAATAAAAAAACCAGACAGTCACATGTCAACCAATCAGAGCAGAGTTAATATTAACTCTGATCTGAGCTAGAAAAAAAAACTGAGTAATTGGCATTTCCGGCTTTCTACGAAGACCTGACGAAACACGTATTTGTTAAAGTGCGTTGTTCTCAGAGGATTTGGCATGGACCGCAAGCAAATTTTGGTGACTGGCTTCCCCAATGGAACGAAAGAAGCACAGCTTATGATCTACTTTCAGTCTGAGAGAGATTCTGGAGGGGGCGACGTAGACAGCATCGAAATTGATCGCGGAAGAGCATACATTACTTTCGAAGAAGCTGGAGGTATGAAACATTAGTTCATTAATTGGCTTGAGTTTTTACTCGTCCTCAGTGCTATTTATATAGCATACTTACTTTTGATTTAGCATCAAACAGTATGACAATGAAAAATTTAGTAATAAAAAAGCAAAGATTAGAAAGAGTTCAGGTAATATTATTCTGAGAAATAAAGGTTCGCAAATCGCAAGGTGTCACCCAACTAATAAACACCCTTTGAGAAATTCCTTCACTGTAGTGTGGTTAAGAGCGAAAGTTGAAAGTTTTAGGGAAAATGAAAACTACTCCCGTAGTTTTACTGAGTCGTCGTTCTTGTGGCGAAGGGAAGTTTAAACTCGAAAGCGAAAGTTGTCGTCCCACATAGATGTGTTGGCCATTACTCACGCACCAAGCCGTCATTGCGGCAATGAAGGGATTTTACCCCGCGTGTGAATATATCACCTGTAGCCCTAAGCGATCTTCGAAATAATATCGGTTGAATCTACTACTAAGATCGGCTCAATAGTGACGAAAAAGGATTATACAATTCAAATGAACTTCTGGTAAATTTCAACCGCAAGCCCATCCGTGAGAGGTCGGCATAGCAGTCATGAAGAGGAAAGAAAATCTCTAAACCATAACCTGGATATGGTGTTCATCACCTACTCCTCTGAATGTAGCTGTAACTCGAAGTCATAGTGATTCACTGTAGCTGTTTCGCCGCCTCCAAGTGCGTGCTACAATCATATGCCCTTGGCGAACTATCATGCATTATAAGTGTATCGTTTAAAATTCACCAACAAGCTTCTTTTGGGCTACATCTTACTTGCAAATGGTTTGAACAATGAAGTTATACCCATCTTGATATTTTGGTCGAGTTTTCGGGTCAACAATAAAGCTTCGTTTGCAAAAGCGTTGTAATAGATAGAAATTAGCCATGTTTAAGCTGGGATAAATTTTGGCCGGTTAAGATTTTCAATTCATACGCCTTATACATAAATAGCGGACGCGCGGTTAAGACCTGAGCCGAGTTCACCAAAACGAGGCTTAGGACGCATCGCTTCATCTATTGATACTTAAGCTTGTGTGAAGGTTTGTGGAATTATTGGCTGTTTCCATTGTAGTTTAATAAAAATGGCGTAGTTTAATAGAGGATCCGTTGATGTAACGTAGTTTGACCTTGGCGAATGTTCTGTTATAAATATGACGGAGAGTTTTGCAGTTAATTTGAGTCAAGACGATATTCCTGGAGTGTCTTTAGAGGGAAGAAACCCAGGAGAGCTCAACAACCATGCCCTGAGGTTTTGGCTAAAATGTAGGGGAGATAAATGCAAAGGGCTGAAAACAAAGGCTCAGCTACTAAAACGGTATGTTTAAATGTAACGATCGATAGCCAAACATAAGTAGTAATCTGAACATCTTATGTTGAGCGAGTTAAATAGAGTTTGGTTTCGATATCTGAGTAAATTACACTCGAATTCGAAAATTGAGCGAAAATACCGTTTTACAGCATCTCAGTTTCATCTGATATCCCACAGACAACGCAGTCATGATAAATTTGCTCAAGAAATCATGTGCCGAAAGACATTC